ACATACAAAAAAGAAGAGCAAAGAAGAAGAGGAGACGATGCAAAAAGGAGAGTCGAGAAGAGGAGAAGCCGAGAAGAAGCTAAGGGATAGAAACGGGCGGAGGATAGGCTACGTGAATGAACTAATATATGTTGATGTGAAACAAATGTGAAACAAATGTGAAACAAATGTGAAACAAATGTGAAACAAATGTGAAACAAATGTGAAACAAACAAATGTGAAACAAATGTGAAACGAGGGAAGTGTCACCGTCCCTAAACATGGCCGCACTCGACCCATTTGTCTCGCGCCCGACGGATGTGAGGCTGGCGGCGCTGGGGGCATCGGCTGGGCGCGCTCTATCTGTCTGTCTGTCTATTTGTCTATTTATGTACTTGTCTGTCTCTGTCGCTGACTATGTCTGTTTGTATGTCTTGCTGTCCTATGTCTGTCTGTCTGTATGTCTGGATCTTTTATCTATCTATCTGTCCTGTCTATTTATCTATTTAATGTACTTGTCTGTCTGTCCTGTCTGTATGTCTCTGTCTATCTGTCTGTCTACTATTTATGTATGTTGTCTGCCTCTATGTATGTCTGTCTGTATGTCTGGCTCTGTTTATCTATCTATCTGTCTATTTATGTACTTGTCTGCCTCCGTCATTGACTATGTCTGTTTGTCTGTCTGGCTCTGTTTATCTATCTATCTGTCTGTCTATTTATCTATTTATGTACTTGTCTGCCTCTGTCATTGACTATGTCTGTTTGTCTGTCTGGCTCTGTTTATATATCTGTCTGTCTGTCTATTTATCTATTTATGTACTTGTCTGCCTCTGTCACTGACTATGTCTGTCTGTATGTCTGGCCTCTGTTTATCTATCTATCTGTCTGTCTATTTGTCTATTTATGTACTTGTCTGCCTCTGTCACTGACTATGTCTGTCTGCATGTATGTCTCTGTTTATCTATCTATCTGTCTGTCTATTTATCTATTTATGTACTTGTCTGCCTCTGTCGCTGCCTATGTCTGGCTCTGTTTATCTATCTGTCCTGTTTTATTTATCTATTTATGTAGCTTGTCTGTTTGTAATGTCTGGCTCTGTTTTATCTCTCTATCTGTCTGTCCTATTTATCTATTTTTGTACATGTCTGTCGGGCCTATGTCTGTCTGTCTGTTTCTCTGTTTATCTATTGATCTGTCTGTTCTATTTATCTATTTATGTACTTGTCTGTCTCTATCGCTGTATTATGTCTGTTTTGTCTGTATGCCTCTGTTTATCTCTCTCTGTCTGTCCTATTTATCTATTCATATACTTGTCTGTCTCTGTCACTGACTATGTCTGTTTTGTATGTCTGGATCTGTTTATCTATCTATCTGTCTGTCTATTTATTCTATTTTTATGTAGCTTTCTGTCTGTCCTGCAATGTCTCTGTTTTATCTATCTATCTGTCTGTCTATTTATCTATTTATGCAGCTTGTTCTGTCTGTATGTCTGCCCTCTGTTTTTATATCTATGCTATCTGTCCTGTCTATTTATCTATTTAATGTACTTGTCTGTCTCTATCATTGGCTGTGTCCTGTCTGGTATGTCTGGCTCTGTTTATCTCTCTATCTGTCTGTCCTATTTATCCTATTTATTTACTTGTCTGTCGCTGTCTATGTCTGTCTGTGTGTCCTCTGTTTATCTATTTATCTGTCTAATTTAATCTATTCATATACTGTCTATTGACTAATGTCCTGTCTGTATGTCTGGCTCTGTTTATCTGTCTATCTGTCTGTCTATTTATCTATTTATGTACTTGTCTGCCTCTATCACTGACTATGTCTGTCCCTGCAAAATGTCTGTCCTCTGTTTATCTATCTATCTGTCTATCTATTTATCAATTTATATACTTGTCTGCCTGTATCACTGACTATGTCTCTGTATTTCTGGCTCTATTTATCTATTTGTTTGTCTGTCTATCTGTTTGTCTATCTATCTACTAATATCTGTCCTATCTAACAGAAGTATAACTATTTATCTATATCATACTATTTGGATACCTGTCTCTCTGTCTCTGTTGGTCTTTATTTATCTATCTGTATGTCTATCTATCATCTATTTGTCTATCTATCTGTCTGTTTATTGTCTCTCCCTCCCTCTCTATTTTTACTGTACACTCTCTCCCTCTTCCTCTCTCTCCTCTCCTCCTTTTCTTTTTTCCTCTCCTCTCTCTTTCTCTTCTTTCCTCTCCCTCTCTCTCTCCCTCCATCTCCCCGCTCTCTCTCCCTCGCACTTCCCCTCTTTCACCTTCCTCCTTCCCTTTCTCTTCCTCTCCCCTCCCCTCCCCCTCCTTCCCCATCCCCTCCTCCTCCTCCTCCACCTCCCTCCTCCTCCACCTCCCTCCCTCCACTAACCAATCTCGCCCCTCCCACTCCCCTTCCCCCTCCATCTCCCTTTCCTCTCCCTCTGTCTCCTCTCCGCTCCTCTTTCTTCACTCTCCCTCACGCATCCACTCGCCCAGTACAACGCCAAACGGGCAGT